GTACTGGGTCTTGGCCATGCATATGGGCAGATTTGCAAACCCTTGCTTTGTGTACTGCTCTATCTTTGCCTCGGCCTGTATAGAGGAATTGGAGAGGTGGATGGGGAGAACAAGGGGAATAAGGTGCTGCGCCATGTTCTGTGATTTACGGAACAATACAGGCAAATTCTTGCAGGCATAAAATAGGCATATGTACATGCATGTGCATGCCCATGCACACGCAGGCAACGCATACATCCTTGCACACATGAGCTCAGCGCCTCATACCTCAGGGGAATACTCCACTCCCGCAGCGCCGTAAGAGACGGTGGCGATGGTCTCAATCTTCTCCTTGATGCTGCGATCCAAATCGTACAGGAACTTGTACCCGCTCTCTCCACCCGCCTCCTTCTCTGCTACGTCACTGCACGCCTTCACCACTGATGCACCCAGTGCTGCCTGCACGTGCCAGCACGGGACGGCATGGTTACAGGGGTGATGATGGCCATAGGGCATGGTGATGGCAGCAGGGCATGGTGATGGCAGCAGGGCATGGTGATGGCAGCAGGGCATGGTGATGGCAGCAGGGCATGGTGATGGCAACAAGAGATGACAAGCCACTGACAACGTCAGAAGAACCGAAAGGCATAAAGGAGATAAAGCCTGGGATGTTGCACAGAAACAGGGGTCCGGAGGAGGTGGTAGGACAAGAGACGGAAGAAAGGTAGACAGGTAGAGGCGTTAAAAATGAGCCAAGGGCAACAGGGAAGTCCATCGTACCGCTCCGGCCCCGCCATGAGCAAAGTGCGAGCACACCACAGCATCCACCGCGCCTGCTGCCATCGCAGCCTTCTGAACCTCCGCAATCTCAGCCTCGGTATCCGCAGCAAAGCGGTTGACCGCTACCACCACGGCAACCCCGTACCGCCGAGTGTTCTTGATGTGCCGGACCAGGTTGGAGCACCCCTGAGCCACCAGCTCCACGTTCTCTGACGTGTACGCGTGGTCCAGGGGCTTCCCTGCCACCACTGCCGGGCCCCCTCCGTGCATCTTGAGTGCCCGGACTGTTGCCACTATCACAGCGCAGTGGGGGCGCAGCCCGCTGTACCTGCTCGGGAGAAAGAGTATACAGGGTGATTCGGAAGAAGGGGTTATTTGAGGATGATTGGGCTTCCCTGCCACCACTGCTGGCCCCCCTCCGTGCATCTTGAGTGCGCGGACCGTTGCCACTATCACAGCGCAGTGGGGGCGTAGCCCGCTGTATCTGCTCCGGGGCAAAGGTGATTTGGAAATGATTAGGAAAAAGTGGTAATCTGTCATCGGCACCGAGAAAGAGGTGGTTCGGTAAAGGTGTGACACATGACAAGGGGGTATATGGGGAAATAGAGAGAGGGCGCCTTGTGTGCCAAAAAAACGTTGCACTCTTTTTGAGGCACCTTGCTTGCCTGACACGTGTCACTAAGCTCTCTTACTGCCGGCCCCTCAACTACCACCCGCCCCTCGTCTAATGTTCCTATTCTCACATGTCCCTCACAAGCTCACCTGCACTTGATGTTGAAAAACTTCTCCGCGCCAATGTCTGCTCCGAACCCTGCTTCAGTGCACACGACGCCCCCCTCCCCCACGAGCTTGAGGGCGATCTGGTCCGCGATGATGGACGAGTTGCCGTGCGCTATGTTGGCAAACGGCCCCGCGTGCACCAGCACCGGCGTGCCCTCCAGCGTCTGCATCAGCGTGGGACGAATGGCGTCCTGAACGAGGGGAAGGGAGTGATGGAATGTGACGGGATGGAAAGGGGAAGGAAAGAGTGAGATAGAAGTCCCCGCGTGCACCAGCACGGGCGTGGCCTCCAGCGTCTGCATCAGGGCGGGACGAATGGCGAGGGAGACCTGAAGGGGAGGGAAGACGAGGGGAGGGAGGGACGTGGAGAATGAAGGGAGACCGAAAACGAAGGAGGGGGGCGGAGGGAGGGAGGGATGTGTAAACATGGAATGCCTAACCCCGGAGCTTTCATGCGCGCACCGGAAACCCCTCGCAACACAAACAGAGGGACCTCTTTACGTGACTCTACTAGGGCACCCCTTGCTCGCCCACCTTCATGATAACCGTCAGCGCGCCACCAATCCCCAAGTCGTCGGCAGTGACCGCGTCACCCGCGCGGCTGGTCCCAATGACCATGCGGCCGAGCCTCTCGCGGAGGTCGTCCAGCGACGTGGTGAGGGCGAGCACGGCCATGATCTCGCTCGCCACGCTGATGTCGAACCCCGTCTGCCGCGTGAGTCCCCGCTCCTCTGGCCCCTGCCCAATCGTGATCCCCCGCATGAACCTGCGCCAGATGGGAGGCGGAAGTGGGTTAGTTGCTGGTTGCAAGCTGCGTCATTCTACCATTGGTGGTTCATTTGCTGCTCGCGCCCGCCATTCCCTCCTCCTCTCAACGAGCTGAAACTGAAGCCGCTGATAGCAGCGACCCACTCCAACAGAGCTCTCACTTTCGAGAGCCCTCCCTAACCACACCACAGAACTCTCAGTTGTTCACATTCCACGCGGCCATCACGGATGCGAGCAACTAACGCATCCTCGCGACGCACATGCACACAGAACACCGTCACGCGCCCATCATCAACATCCATCACCCGGCGCGCACCTATCATTGATGTCCATCACGCGGCGCCACGTGATCTTCTCCGGGTCGATATCCAACCTCACAAACCGCCGCACCTCGTCCTCCGTCAGCTCCGCGGGGTCGCTCTTATCAATCCCCAGCTTCTTCAGCCGCCGGAACATGATCGGCGAGAAACGCCGTTTTCCCTCCTTGTCCGCCGGGCACAGCCGGTTCAGCAGCCCCTTGTCGGACTGCGCGGCTTCGTGGAAGATTCGGGTGTCGATGGCGGCGGCGAGGAGGTTGTTGGCTGCGGTGATGGCGTGGATGTCGCCGGTGAGATGCAGGTTGAAGTCTTCCATTGGAATCACCTGAGATGCGGCCGGATGTGTGGAGACTCATTGCGTGATTGACAGCGGGATGAAGTTGATTGTGACAGGGTTTGAGAAATGACGTTGTTCATTTTCTGCCATCAATCGTGCAGTAGGCTTAAAGATATTTGTAAGCTTCCACAACAACAACTTGTGCATTTCAATATAATCTTCATCCAGTATTAGTTAAAGAATAAATTCTGCTCACCTGACTGTATCCTCCTCCAGCCGCTCCTCCCTTGATGCCGAAGGTGGGTCCCATGCTGGGCTGACGGATGCATGCAATACACTGCATGGATGAGGCAATCAGGCCGAATGGAGAGAGGTTAGAATCGTTCTGGAGCCAAGCCCTTGGAGCCCATGAAAATATAGTTTCGACTTTTCTCTTCGTACATGTCTTTTTACACAACAGAAAATTATTGTTTCCATGTCGAATCCGACGATCAAGAATCTGAGCTTAATCTGTCACTCATCAGACGAGCTAATTTGTCACTCACCGACTTCTCTAGATGGGCTCCAAGGGCCTGTGCGAGCCCGATGGTGGTGGTAGATTTTCCTTCTCCGAGCGGAGTTGGAGAAATTCCCGCAACCAGCACATAATATCCCGACTTTGAATCCTTCAGCCGATCCTTCACGGACAAGCAAACCTGAAATATGCCGAAATGGGATGAACAATAAAAAAATGAACGATCAATGGACAAGGAAGAGCTTGCGATATGTTGCGGTTTTGGCAGATTTACGGAACGCAGTTCCGAGAATATAGGTGGTTCGCTTGCCTTGGCCTTGAGATTTCCGTAGAGCTCGTACTCAGCCGGCTGCAGGCCGACCGCATCGGCAATCTCAGCTATCGGCCGCGGCTCTACTGACTGGGCGATGACAATGTCAGCAGGCACAGGGTCCTGCACTTGCAACTTGCGAGCAGTTGCAGTGGTCACCATTGGAACAAATTATTAACCTATAACTAACGCCTCGCCTTCGCAACGAACCACGAACGTTAGTTGTTGTCTAAGGTGCAGGATCAGAAGCCTTGGATGTAGAATGCTGATGCGAATTTGTTTCAGTGAACTGGAAAGTCTCAAATGCCTGGATCAGTCTGAATGGTTCCTGAAAGCTCACTAGTGAAAGGTTTGCTTGCTGTTGAGAAATCAGCTGAAAGCTGAACAAATTGCTGCTCGCATCGCCGCTTGCTCCGGATTGCCTTGTTTGGCTGAGAGGATGTGACTGACGTTGGATCATCTCTGACAGTCAACAGAAACCTCAATCGATTCCATTACTGACCGTTCGATGAGTCGCTTGTAGCCCTCTGACGTACCTCTTGGCGCGCGAACCCCTGATTGGATGGATCGAATGCACATGTCAAAGAAAGTCCGCCAGATTGTGTGAAGATTTGGGGTGCTATTTCACGCGGATTTCTAGCTCGTCGTGGCAGGTGAATGACTAGGATATCCATTTTGCTGCTGTGGCTTCTCCAGGTGTCCCACCACGTCATCAATCCAGTCTGGTCAGCAAAATTTACCTCAATATTTGTGGGTTCGTTAAAATTGTAGTATAGATTCAGATGTTTTGACGAACTCGTATTTTGACCATTTCGAGGGCTTATTTCGGCAATTTCGAGGTTTGAAGTATCACCAAAATGCCTAACTGTCAGGCACCAAACGCGCCGAGCACACCAACAGCTCTGCTGCAGGCAGCAGCCTCTCACAGCCGGAACAATGCGGGTCCCAGCATAGCATTTACCGCAGCTGCCAATGATCAACCTTCGCCCTTCGGGGCGTTCCCTTCCTTTCCTCATCTTCCAGTCACGCTTTTCCGTCTCCAGATTCACCACCGCTTCTCTCCTCCCCGATCCTTCGCATGTTGTCGCCGGTAACTCTCGCAATTGCCATCCATCCGTCGCACCAGCATCGCTCGTGCCGCGAGTAGCATCTTCATCGACGCTTTCCGCAATTTCCCGCCAAATCCGCATGAGCTGGACTTCAGTGCTCCTCAATCCACCGCTTATTAGAGCATTCCACTCATCAGTACCTGACAGTCAATTCAGTAACAGGCAAATGGAGGTCGACCCGCGAGCTAATAAGGTTGATCCACGTGGCTACGAGGCTGCTCTAGCAGCGCTCTCTGGTTTGATCAATCAGCGGAAGCGCGCGGATGGGTCAAACTGGGGAGATGCCTTCGCTCTCATGCGCTCATACGTTAAGGTTAGTCTAGTGATTCTCTTAGCTAAGGTTGCTCTGGTGACTCCCTCATATCCAGTTACGCTCCGCAGTTTAGAACGCACCAACTACTAATGACACCAGATTTAGTGTCGGGTCTCTGGTATCAACCGCAAAACACATGATCTACGTGTGACCCTGGTCATTCCGCAAGGCTATCTCGTCATGATGTGACCGTCTGTTTCCATTCCAGTAATCTGGTAGTCCGTGGTGTAACATTCCTGCCATCAGTTGTGATCCTTGCTCGTATTGTCGAAATTTTGACTCTCCTGTTATATGTGACTGTAACTATCGTTATTCTTGTTGTCAGGTGCTGGATTTGGAGGGACCAATTGACCAGCTCAGCATCATCCACGTGGCAGGCACCAAAGGCAAGGCAAGAAACCAACATTGTGACATGGCACAGCATCACAACAAGATTCAAATGACATGGCACAGCATGATTCAAAATGACATGTCACAGCATGATTCCAACGCGCCCTCCTCTCCTTCCCTCTCCTCTCTCGTTCCCTCCTCTCTCCCACATCCCCACTTGTTTGACAGAACTTCACATGCGCCATAGCGGAGAGCGTGCTGAAGGCCAGAGGCCTCACAACGGGTCACCAATTGTGCTCCTTTCATCTTTTTCCTTTTCGCCCGTCCCCTCCTCTCAATACCCCCCCTCTCTCCCCAGCAGGGGTCCACGTGTGCCATGGCGGAGAGCATGCTGAGGGCCAGCGGCCACACCACGGGGCTCTTCACCTCGCCACACCTCGTGGACGTCCGAGAGCGCTTCCGCCTGAACGGGTGCGTGATGTGAGGGGTGAGTGGTGACGGGGGAGCGGTGCATGCTGGGTGAGTGGTGAAGAATTTAGGGGCTACTTGTGGAGAGCATTTACTTTGATGGGTGTACCCTGCTCTCCACACCTTGTGGACGTCAGAAGAGGTTCTACCCCAGCGGGTGAGCATTGTGAGGTTTGGGGAACGATGTTAACAAGCTAGAGTTTAGAGCTTTGGGATCTATCATGTGAGACGCTGTGCTGTGCTGTGCTGTGCTATGCTGTGCAGCCATTGAGGGTCAGCTTATACTCCTCTGCTTTCCCTGCCCGTCCCTTACCAATCCTCTCGTTGTTCATCCCACAGGGAGATGGTGTCAGTTGATACGTTTCTGCAGCACTTCTGGTGGTGCTACGACCGATGTAAGGTGCGAGGCAGGTGCAAGGTGCAAGGCAGTTACACTCTCTCATTCCCATCGGCCCACTTTCCATCGTCTCCCACCTCGATGCTAGCCCATATCCGCATCCCGAAACCCCTTTGCATCATACTATAAGTGCACCATTCGTCCCTCATTCCCTCTGCCCCTCCCTCCCATTCCCCCGTTTCCGTTCCCCCGTTTTCATTCCCCCACCCCTCCAGGAAGCAGCGTCCTCTCCCTCATCCCCCATCCCCATGCCAGCCTACTTCCGCTTCCTCACTCTGCTCGCCCTACGTATCTTCACGCACACTCAGGCGAGCCTTTTTCTGTCTCAGGCAACTCACTCTTAGTCATCCGCGCCTCCCTCACCCTTTTTCTCCCTCGCTCATGCTGCTCGCCCTGCGCATCGTCTCCCACACTTTGCCCAGTCGGTCATAAGTTTGTCTCTTGCCAGTCAACCCATCTTCTGCTCCTTGTCCTACGTGGCAGGTTGACGTGGCGATTCTGGAGGTGGGGATTGGAGGACGATTTGACGCCACTAACATTGTGAGTGGTCGGTCTCTTTGCTTTCTGGAACATGCACCCACTTTTCCTTTCCCCCCACCCCCCCCGCCAGCCAGCACCCTTCCTGTGCAGTGTTGTGACATCACATCCCTCTTTCCCTTGGCATTGTCCCCTCCCACTCGTCCCTTCTTTGCCCCTCCATCCTGCCCTTCTTTGCCCCTCCCTCCCGCCCTTCTTTGTCCCCTCCCTCCCGCCCTTCTTTGTCCCCATCTCCCGCCCTTCTCTGCCCCCATCTCCCTCCCTTCTTTGTCCCCATCTCCCGCCCATCTCTGCCCCCATCTCCCTCCCTTCTTTGTCCCCATCTCCCGCCCTTCTCTGCCCCCATCTCCCTCCCTTCTTTGTCCCCATCTCCCGCCCTTCTCTCGTCCCCTGCCTCCTCTACCCCCATCAGGTGAAGCATCCGGCGGTGTGTGGCGTGTCATCACTGGGTTTCGACCACATGGAGCTGCTGGGTGAGTCGGAGAGTGGGTGGTGTGCTGCTAGGTGGGGCGTGTGGGTGGTGAGGGGGGGGAAGGCCGGGTGGTGTGGGGGACTTTCATCTACATTCCCTATTCGCCATTCCAGTATCGCTATCCACCCCCACTAACCCCCTTCCACCCGTCACTAACCCTGTCCACTCACGCGCACCCCCTTACACCCCTCCCCGGCCACTTACTCTCGTCTGTGTCACTGTTTCTGTCCCCTGCTCTGCTGACTCTGCAAAACTTCCAGGAAACACCCTGGCTCTGATAGCAGGCGAGAAGGCTGGGATATTTAAGGTGAGGGGGAGGGAGGGGTTGAAGAGGGGGAACAGGAACGGGGAGGGGGGAGGGGAAAGGGATGGGAAAAGGGCGAGGGGGTGGGAGTGTAGGGTGTGAGAAAGTGGAGAAGGGGGAGGGAGTAGGGGGCGGGGAGGTAGTAGATGGTCTAGAGGGCAGGAGCGGTTTTTTCCTTCGCTCCTCCCAAGCGGTTCATCCCTTTGTCTCAATCCCTTTCTTTCTTCTTGTCTTTCCCCTCTCGTACTCCTATCCTCCCCCAGGCAGGAGTGCCGGCAGTGACGGCCCCACAGGAGGAGGAGGCGATGGAGGTGCTCAGGCAGCGAGCAGCGGAGCTGCAGGTGGGAGGGTGGGCCGATGTTACTTTTGAGAATTCTCACAAGCAGCATCAACGGGCCGATGCCCTCAACAACATCAACGGGCCTGAGGGCGAGGTTGTTGAGTTGTGTCCGCCTCCTAAAGAGCGCAAGCGAAGCAGCCCCCGTTCCGGGCGTGGGGAGGATTCGAGGGCAAGATGCCTCTCATGCCACTGCAATGCTTCCCTCCAAAAGGCTGTCCGTCCTTTCTACCTCGCACACTCCCACACACCACACACCCACTCAACACACACACTCACACACACTCACCCACACACCCACACACCCACATACACACCATCTCGTTTCCGTGTGACTTCCATCCCGCTGCTCTTCCCCCGCCAGATTCCTCTAGAGGTGGCCAAGCCGTGGCACGAGGTGGCGCCAGGTGTCGGAGTGGGATTGGCGGGCCGGCACCAGCAGGTGAACGCGTCGCTGGCCGTCTCTCTCTGCCGCCAGTGGGCCCAGCGCAGTGGCAGGGAAGAGGAGGCCCACGCAGTCGATCAGGTGAGGTCCAGTGCGGTGCCGTGAGGTGGAGTGCAGGCACCAGCAGCTCAACGCGTCTCTGGCGGTCTCGCTTTGCTGCCAGTGGGCCATCCGCAGCGGAAGGGTAGAGAAGGCAGATGCCATCGATCAGGTGAGGAGGCAGATCCGAATCTCCTTCAATCTTCCCTGGCCTTGCATTCGCCACCTGGTTCAAGGACTGGCCAGGAAATCATGCTCGCGATATTGCTCCTAATGTTGAGTCGCCTAAAAACCACACTGGTTAGCAGGACATTTGCTTACGTTATTGCTCCTATTTCCCTTGGTCCACTTCGATTCACTTTTTATTTCCTTTGTGACCGGTTGAATTCCCTTTTCTTTCTTTTATCCTCCTGGTTCAGGCCCTAGCCAATAAGACACTGCCACCTCCTTACATCAAAGGGCTAGGGTGTGCCTCCTGGCCGGGCAGGTGCGAAATTTTGCAGGACTGCCAGGCCGAGCCTGGCCAGGCTGGAAGTGCGGGCGGGCAGCTGACATTCTTTTTGGATGGTGCCCATACAGTGGAGAGCATGGAGGTGTGCGGGGAGTGGTTCTCAGAAGCTTCTCGGGATGGAGCGAGAGGTGGAGAGGGGAATGGAGGAGGTAGTGGTGAGGGGGATAAAGAGGGAGGTGGACGAGCAAATGCTGGGGAAGGAGCAGCAGCAACAACGGGAGCAGCAGCAGGGGTGCAAGGGTCAAGCCAATTGGGAGCTAAGACGCCTGTGCGGGTAAGGCTGTGTGGATCTAAGTGTGTGTGGACTGGACTGAGTGGCTGGGATAGCAAGGACTTGTTTGTGAGAGAGTCAGTTGCCTGCCATGCGTGACAAGCAGTGGCGGAGTGACGCGCACTCAGGTTACAGTAGTGTCCCCTCACCTCCCTCGCGCATAGGTGTTCCTGTTCAACGGTGTGCTACAATAGTAAGAGCCGGACCCACACACCCACACGCCGTTTGCTCTGTGTTTCTTCGTGCTAACCTGATCATGCAACCTCACTCTCACTGCGCTGCACTCGCTCATCACAGGTGCTACTGTTTAACTGCATTCCTAAGCGGGACCCGCACACGCTCACATGCCGTTTGCTCCATGTTTGCCCATGCTACCCTTCACTTTATCATGCTGCCCTGCGCTTTCTTCCCTGCGCTCTCTTCCCTGCGCTCTCTTCCCTGCTCTCATCGCAGGTGTTGCTGTTCAACTGCATGCCTGAGAGGGACCCGCACACACTCATGGCACAGCTTCTCAGAACGCTTGAGCGCAGAGGTATGTTAGAGAACCCTCCTCTGTGGTTGAATAGGGTGAAGTCTGGTTGTTTTGCGATCAAATTTATCCCTACACCTGCTTGTCTCATCCTGCTTGTCTCGTACAGTCTCCTTGTTCCAATGCTTTGTGTTGCACTCTTGCATCACCCTCCTCACAGCTCCTTAATTTTCTCTTCCATTCTTCTTCTTTCTCTCTCTCTCTACCTGGCTGCTTGTGTCTTGCAATCCGTTCCCTCCTTTGCCTGTTCCCCGTCTTTCCCCATCTGTTTCTCACCAGGCCTGTCCCTCGATCGAGCCTTGTTTGTCCCCTCTCTCTCCTCCTACACCGCTCTCCTCCCGTCACCCTCCCCCTCCTCCCCTTCTTCCTCCTCCCTCTCCTCTTCCCTCCCCTCATCCGACTCTACCGGCCCTGCTTCTAATGTGACGAGCCAAAGCATCAGCTCTGGCACCGATGCTACTGGCACAAAGCAGAGCAGTAGCCTTGGCCAGAGCAGTCTGGATTGGCAGATAGCCATGCAGCAAACATGGGAAGAGCTGCAGCAGCAGCCTTTGCATGCTGTTACTTCCGCTGCTGCAGCTGCCGCCAGTATTGAAGCTGGTGCTCCTCCTCCTGTTGCCGCTGCTCCTGCTGCTTCTGCTCGTTCAGGTGCCCGTTCGGTTGACTCAATTCCTGCCTCGTTCCTTGTGCCTTGTGAGTCGACTCAATCAGTAGCTTTGCCAGCATCAGCAGCTGCACACCCAGCAGCACAAGGAGCAACACAAGCAGCAGGAAGGGAAGTGTTGGAGGATCCATCTTGGCCGTTGAGTTCCCAAGGAACGGCGAGTTTGGGGCCTCGCAGTGCTGTGCTGCCGTCACTACCAGCGGCCATTAATCTGCTTAGATGGACGGCTAGGATGCACTCAGACGTCCATCTGCAGGTGTTAGTGACAGGTTCGCTGCACCTGGTGGGTGATGTGCTGCGTGTAGTAAGAAGAGACTGACTGTGGTTGCAGCTTGTAGGGATGCGAATATATAGTTGAGATGTTCTTGACGGGTCTTTCTATTGTTGCGGGAACCATGGTCCATGACACCGTTCATGCGAATCTGGTCCTTTTATTGTTGCGGGCTGAGGTGAACCATGTGTCAGTTAGGAGCTCCATCAAAATTATTTCCCAAACAAGCGATGCGTGCACATCCTTCAAACAGGGAAAAAAAACGTCATGCACGTACGAAGTGCACCAGGCTTATCCATAACCTACCCGGAGTAGCTTCTTCTGGCCGCAAAAACTCCCTCGGCGCGAGCTCTGTGAGTTGCAACGGGGATGGCCAAAATAACAATGTATGATTTGGCTTATAGATTCAAAATGACGATTGAATGTATTATCTGGTTTATACGGTACCTGGTTCTCCAGTTGTGCAGTGTCGGTTTGCTGCATGCCCGAACCTTCATACGGTTCGGACCTGGACCCTGGAGATCCCCGATGTGGTCTGTCTGACCAAGCCTGGTCGGAGCAAGGCCATGCCGTGCCGAACACGACCGAATGGGGTTGTGTCCTATGTCGATAATTGTCATGCAATTCCATTATCCCATCCCACCCATCCATACCTTTCGATACATGTCCGTACCTTTTTATTCCAAACTAAAGTCCAAACCTTTTCTCGATTCCTCCTCCACTTTTGCTGCTCTTTTGTGATCACCACCGTGCATCCCGCTGGTCTCTTGTTGCTGCTGCTGTGTGACAGTCGCAAGCAGGCACGCGCCATTATTGGAGCTGGTCGCTGCAATCCGCATCGGTTTTCGACAGCCACTTGATAGCCCTTAGTTTTCCCTGACGTTTCGTCATTGTTCGTGTTCCTTTCGAAGTTTTATCCTTTATCCCAGAAAATATTTATCATTCCAGTACGAAATACGTGTTTGGGACTGAGAGGCCAACGTCATCGTATGCTTTCCGTCGTTCAAGCACAATATTGATCTCAACTCCTGAAATCGATCGCTAATTGCGGAGTACGCACGCGATGACTCAAAGACAGATATCCTTGCTACTAGTCTTCCTCGTGTCGTGCCTGTCGACGCTGCCATTCAGGGCTCTAGTGGCAGCGCAGTACGATGGCTCAGAAGGCGGCGGAGATGACGGCGGAGGAGGAGGAGGAGGAGGATATGGCGGCGTGACATGCGAACCGTCGTCTTTGCCGGAGTATAAATATTCCGTCAAATTAAACAATCGCGGGTAATTTTCTTACCGCTACCGAACGATTTTAATTTATTTTATTTATGAAAAAAAATCCATTCTATAAACGTTTCGTTCGTTTCTTCAGTCCCTCCTGTTCAACTATTCGTATCTTACCTTCTTACCTTCTCGCTTCCCCGTGCACCCCCGTTCCTCCCCTCTCCTCGTCTCGCTCCGCGCGTCAGTCTCATCCTTCACTGGAAAACCGACTCCACGACCGTCAACTTCGCCGCGCAAGCGCTTGCCGGGGCGGTTGCAGACGGCTGGTTCGCCGTTGGATGGTCAGGATCGTCCGGCCGAATGATCCCGGGAGATGCGGTGATCGGCAATCTGCCAGGTGGAACGATAAAGCCGTATTACCTGGGTTACTACTCCATGGCTGAGGTGGTTCCCACCATCAACTTCAGCATCGGGAACGCCGGGAACGAGGCTGTGGTCACGAAGAACGCGGACGGTTCGATCATCATGAAGTGAGTGATATTTTATCGAAGCAGCACATTAGGAGTGGGATTTTGCATTCATCCGAGGCCACATTGACCAAGAACGCGGACAGCTTGTTTATCATGAAGCGAGTTGCTTCTGCACGTGGCTTTCGCCATGACGCCCTCTGATTCACCGCACATTCGCTGGGACACCCTTAGATGCGTGGCACGTTTCACTGGATACCCTTAATTTTGCTGCCCATTCGGCGGGACACCCTCGAATGCGCTGACGTTTCACTGGAAATCCCTAAATTCGCTCCACATTCGCCGGGACACCCTCTAATGTGCTGCTTGCTTGCCGTTTCCCATATGCTCTCTCTATGGCCGATGACCCGCACTCTCTCAGTCTGTGTGTTTTAATAAATAACTCGCAGTTCTTTTCCAACATACCAGATCCAACCTGTGCCCTTGTTGTACCCGTTATTGTGCTCCTCGTTTGAGTGGCGAACTGCAGGTTCTCACGGTCAGTGAACGACGGCACTGTGAAGGTGCTGCTGAAAGGAGTCAACTACATGATCTGGGCCTACTCGGACGGCTCTCAGACCCTCTCCCAGCACTCCCGCTCCAACATGTATGCACCCCCCTTCCCCCCCTCCTTCCTCCCCCCCCTCAAGTCCCTTCACACCCACTCCATGATCCCCAGGACCGCCCAGAACCCCACAAACTCCCCTAAGAACATCCCTAAGAACATCCCTAAGAACATCCCTAAGAACATCCCTAAGAACATCCCTAAGAACATCCCTAAGAACATCCCTAAGAACATCCCTAAGAACATCCCTAAGAACATCCCTAAGAACATCCCTAAGAACATCCCTAAGAACATCCCTAAGAACATCCCTAAGAACATCCTGAGAACATCCCTAAGAACATCCCTAAGAACATCCCTAAGAACATCCCTAAGAACATCCCTAAGAACATCCCTAAGAACATCCCTAAGAACATCCTGAGAACATCCCTAAGAACATCCCTAAGAACATCCCTAAGAACATCCCTAAGAACATCCCTAAGAACATCCCTAAGAACATCCCTAAGAACATCCCTAAGAACTCTCTACTCTGACTGTTTAAAGAACTCTCTCGTGTCGAAGCATCTCAGCTCTCAGCATGTGTGTATTGTCTGTAAGTCTCGCTCGCACGCTCAAGATTTGATTTGAGACGTCGCAAAAGAGTTTTGGGACGTCTCTAAACGCGTGTTGAGGCATCTCAGCTCTCGTATTGAGCACGTGAGTACTGCATGCTCACGAAGTGCCAATCCCAAACGTGCGTCCTGCACTTCGTCTCACTTACGTCCTGCACTTCGTCTCACTTACGTCCTGCACTTCGTCTCACTTACGTCCTGCACTTCGTCTCACTTACGTCCTGCACTTCGTCTCACTTACGTCCTGCACTTCGTCTCACTTACGTCCTGCACTTCGTCTCACTTACGTCCTGCACTTCGTCTCACTTACGTCCTGCACTTCGTCTCACTTACGTCCTGCACTTCGTCTCACTTACGTCCTGCACTTCTTCTCACTTGCGTCCTGCATTTAAAGCCGTCTATTATCAAACCTGTATTCCGTCCCACTAATCCTCTGCTCCTTTATTCCCCTTCGTAACTTCTCCGTATAAATCCTCTTCCCTGGTTCCCCTCCTGCCCTCCTCCCCTCTTTCCTTCTCTTCCCTGTCGTTTCCCCGCACTTAAGGAATCCGTTCAAATAGACCACAGCAGCAGCAGCAGCAGCAGCAGGGGCAGCAGCAGCAGCAGCAGCAGCAGCAGCAGCAGCAGCAGCAGCAGCAGCAGCAGCAGCAGCAGCAGCAGCAGCAGCAGCAGCAGCAGCAGCAGCAGCAGCAGCAGCAGCAGCAGCAGCAGCAGCAGCAGCAGCAGCAGCAGGGGCAGCAGGTCCTCCTCCCAGTCTCAGGGGTCCGCCTTCGCTTCACACCCTACTCCCGTGACCCGTCCTCCTCCCTGTCGTTTCCCCCCCACCCCACCCCACCCCCAGGGGAGCCGTGCAGATAGACTACAGCTGCCCCGCGTCCGGCAGCAGCAGCAGCGGATCCTCCCAGTCACAGGGGTCGGCCTGCGAGCGCTCCACCCTCCCGGGCTACACCTGCTCCACCAAGCTCAGCGCGAACGCGTGAGTGCCGAGTATTTCAGCTGCTTCTGAAAGCTGCTTGTGTAAGTATAGGCAGTCTGCCTCCCTCCCGGGCTACACCTGCTCCACCAAGCTCAGCGCGAACGCGTGAGTGTGGACTGTGGTGCATCTGTATCCGTTCCTCTCATCTCATCTCCGATCTGTTCGTAACTTGGGTCACAAAATGGGGTGACCACTTTGTCCGTTACTGTCCGTTCACTCGCCCTCGCTTCTCTCCTCATTCCCCACCCTCCCATCCCGCCCCTCCTCTTACCCCCCCAGCTACATCCTGCACTGGGCGGTCAACAAGGACAGCACAGTGAGTCTTCACTCACGCTCTCTTCACTTCCCCCTCCACCTTCCTCTGCCTCCCTTCCCCTCCCCCCAGCTACATCCTGCACTGGGCAGTCAACAAGGACAGCACAGTGAGCATGGCAGCACAGGTCGCTACCACAGGCTACATCGGGGTCGGCTTTTCTAAAGACGGCAAGATGACCAACTCAGACGCAGCCATTGGGAACGTGCCACCTGGCACGCTGGCCAATGGGGCGGCAGTGGGGCCGTATTACATGAACGGGCATGAACTGCAGTCGGTGCAGCCGACAGCCATGTGGAGCGTTACCAACACATCGGTTACCACTGCAAATGGATACACGATAATCAAGTGAGTAAGCATTATAAATACACTCTACATGAGTGGGCATGATCTGCCGTCCAATCAGCCTACAGCCATGTGGAGCGTTACAAATACATCGGTTACCAGCCAAAACGGCTACACTATCAACAGGTAAGGATGATGAGATGTGGGGCCATAGTTGCATTGCAGCCATGAGATGTGGGGCCATAGTTGCAGCCATGAGATGTGGGGCCATAGTTTCACCCGTACTACATGAGCGGGCATAATCTGCAGTCGGTGCAGCCTACAGCCATGTTGAGCGTTACAAACACGTCAGTTACCAGCCAAAACGGTTACACCATCATCAGATGAGAGTCTGAGGAAAGGAAAAGTCTTAGTAAATGTGTCACGATACTGCCCATGCTTATAAAAAATTGTGTCGAGTGGCCGGTTACCAGTCAAGCGGTAACGCTTCCTGTTATTATATATGGTTACTCAAATTCGGTGTAGGCTGGTTACCAAGAGAAGGAAACTTGGTCCGGTGTCAGCTTTCCCTCATGTGTCAACCTGTTCCTAATTGCCTTCTGAATTTTCTCTTCCATGCCTCACTCTCCCTCCTCCCTCCCCCCAGGTCCACGCGCAGCATGGGCACGGGGCATGTGCCTATCAAATGCATTCGTGTTCTCATTCCCACTCCTCCCTACCTTCCTGCTCTCTACTAACCGTCCCACTCCCCCCTCCCCTTCCCCCCAGGTTCACGCGCACCATGGGCACGGGGTATGTGCCCATCAATGCATTCGGCCCCACCACCATCATCTGGGCCTACTCGCCTGATGGCTCCACCACCCTCGCTGACCACCGCAGCAACTAGTGAGTCTTGAGACCCTTGCACCGCGCACCCGATGGCATGGCGCGGCATGGCGCGGCATGGTGTGGCATGGTGTGGCATGGTGTGGCATGGTGTGGCATGGTGTGGCATGGTGTGGCATGGTGTGGCATGGTGTGGCATGGTGTGGCATGGTGTGGCATGGTGTGGCATGGTGTGGCATGGTGTGGCATGGTGTGGCATGGTCTGGCATGGTGTGGCATGGTGTGGCATGGTGTGGCATGGTGTGGCATGGTGTGGCATGGTGTGGCATGGTGTGGCATGGTGTGGCATGGTGTGGCATGGTGTGGCATGGTGAGCCTGATGACTCCGCAGCAACTAGTGAGTCACGTCGTTGCTGTGCCGGTGACATGGCATCACCTGGCATGGCATGGCGTGGCATGGTGTGACATGGCTATCAACTGGCATGGCATGGCGTGGCATGGTGTGACATGGCGCAGTTGCCTACATCATATGTACCCTAAACCCTTCGCTCATATGTCCCCCACCCCACCCCAGTGGCTCAGCCTCAATCGATTTCGTCAAGGGCACGGTATCAGGCGGGCACGGCAGCAGCACAGCAGCCTACATCGCCCACGGGGCCCTCCTCTCCATCGCCTTCGCCCTCCTCATGCCCCTCGCCATCCTCCTCGCCCGCCTCCTCCTCGCCGACCGCCCCGACTCCGCCCCCCTCAACCTCAACCGCCCCTCATACATTCCCACCGACGCCAACGGAAACGCATCACCCCAGCAGCGGCCCGGAAAGAACCTCCGGCCGTTGGGGTTTCAGTTGCATCGGGGCATTCAGGTGTTTGCGCTGGTGGTGGCGGTGGCAGGGATGATTGTGATATTTGTGCAGGCGGGGTCCAAAGGGCTAAACTGGACTCATGGGCAGGTGGGGCTGGCGGCGGTGATTCTCGCGCTGGTGCAGGCGATTGTGGGGTTTGTGCGACCGGATAAAACCGCTCCGAACCGCTTCATGTGGCTGGTGGCGCACTGCTTGATTGGGGCGACTACCATCGCGCTGGCATGGGCGGCCATGTTCCTCGGCATCGACCTTTATCACACCAAGTTCATGCAAAACGTTACGGTGAGTCGTTGGAACGTGTATGTATCTCCACTGTAATTTTTATCATTATCATTGTAGTCATCATTGTCGTTGTTGTCATCGTCATCATCTTCATTATTTTTTCAATGTTGTTTCGGTCGATGTTTCTATTGTAATCATTATTGTTGTTATTTCTGCTATAGTTCGTTCTTCAGCAAGAGAGCTGGTGAGAGGGACAGGGTCTGGATTGAGGGGTGCGAAAGGAGATTATGAAAGATGCTGAGATCAGGAAAACTCTTCTAGCATTAGCAAACAGCACTATTACCTCTCCAAGCTTATTGCATCCTTCCTCCCTTCCCTCCTGCAGTGGTGCTACTGGGTCTGCGGCGTTTGTGTGGGCATTTTCAGCTTGGCATACCTGGTGCTGGTCATTCCGGACAGCATTCTTTCATTGAAGAGGCCCAAGGATCATGGTGATGATGGAAAGGGCACACCTGCTGCTTTCTGATTGGACGGGACCACCATTAATGTGCTGCTTGTGTGCAGAAATAGTTTGAGGCTCGCCTTGCCTAATAAAATAGAGGTGAAATCCTCATCTCTTTGATTATTGCAGTGATGTTTGTGTGATGTGTGAAACACATCGTTTCCAATGGGGACTTAGAGAGGAAAGTAAAATTCTCCGTGCCCCATTGACACAGGCACCGTTGAGCTTACAAAACCATGTCTCATGATGTGAATTGCAATAGCTCTGTTGGTGATGGGCTACATTAATATAACCATACCACATTATGGAGTGTAACCGGTGCGTTACGTGGGTATGCTAATGCCTTGAGGCTTGAAGCTTGAAGCTGAGGTGGTGTTATTGGAGCTTGAAGGCGGGAGGGGTGTTTCATCAGACCGTAATGTATTTGCACCTTGCCTTGCTGCTTCTTGCTTGTCAGATTACGGTACTATTGCATGAGAAGTCGGATCATAGCTGAGTATATAGGATGGTGAGTCTGTACCGTATAATTGTCTTTATCTTGATGTGATTGTAAATTATTTTTGCTCTTTCCATGTTGTGCATGGCCTCGTTAGTTGTCCATTTTGCTCTTCTCCAACCTCACCCAGCCCAACCGAAATTTATCCGTTACTGGATGGCGCGATACCCGTCTCGGTTTCAATTCATACAAATTTCATTCCGTGGTCCGAGTCGAATTCAACAAAACAGCATCCGTGCTGCGCAACTCACCAGGCGGCGGCGGCATGCATGCCTTATTGATCTGCTCGTCTTGAATTCTAGTGCCTAGACTTCTCTCAGCCGTCCCGCACACGCACACGATTATTGAATCCAGCAGCATCATAGGCCTTTCATTGGCCTGGACAAGCCATGACGTCCAATCATTGTGGCGACTCTTATCCTCTTCGCTTGCGTTGCGAAGCAGCAGTAGGCCGTCCATTCTTCCGAAGAGTATTTCACAAGAGAACGCGAACAATAAGAAGCTCTGCGGCTATGCTTACTAGACTAACTTTTCCGTCATGTATATTTTAATTTGCTCATTTTCAACTGCAGAAGTCGAAGCACTAGGCATTCTGATCAATTTCCTTCAGATTTAGCCGTATGTCGACTCATCGGATGACGCTAACACGGATTACCCAACTGCTAGCCGTGCTCCTGTCTGCGTGCCTTGCGACGCTGCCGCCTTTCGCGGCTTTCGTCGCCGCACAGGGCGACAGCGGTGCGACGTGCGACTCGTCGTCTCTGCCGGGATACAAATACTCTGTCAAATTGAAGGACGGAACGTAATGAACTCGTGGCTTGTCGTCTCTCCCTGAATCAGTACTCCGTCAAATTGAACTATTCCGTCCGTCCACTGACCGTCAATGAGACGGTGACCGTCACCACCTCACCCTCAATTGGCAGTTGACTTCGTATCCACCCGTTGCAGAAATCGCAAATGATTTTCTTCTAAATCATACACGGCGGGACATGACGTCATATGATATCTAACTGATATTTTGCTACTTTCCAAAGGCTCCTCAAAACTTATTTAGACTGAACGGCACATGATTCCCGCCAGTTGTTTTGCAAATTTTCTTCACGCGATTTTCTTTCACCTCCGTCTCTCCATGCGTCAGTCTCGTCCTTCACTGGAACACCGTCAACTCCACGACCGTCAACTTCGCCGCGCAAGCGTTAGCCGGGCCGATTGCAGCCGGCTGGTTCGCTGTCGGATGGTCGGATTCGTTCGGCGGGATGGTGCCGGGGGATGCGGTGATTGGCAATTTGCCAGGCGGGAAAATGGACGCATATTATCTGGAAAACCCGGTACTGGATCAGGTGCTTCCAACCAAGAAATTCAGCATCGGGAACGAGGCCGCGTTGACTACGAACGCCGATAACTCGCTCATCATGAAGTGAGTACGCTTCTCAACACATCTGAGGTGTTTTTGTTTCTTTTTTTTTTCTGGATGGGGCCATGCTATTGTCAGTCAGTGCTTGCAGCGAAACTTAGGTTCGATAAGTGTGGTTATATGTTCACCTTAGCTGTCCCGTCCTGAATTTGAGCACCCTTTTCCACTCCATTCACAGCAGCCTAATTAACCAACCACTGGTTATTAATCAATTAATTCATCACACAATGTGTTCCTTCCTGTATTTACATACATAATAACAGTAGCCCCCTCCGGTGTACTCAGTTCTCACCAATCCATGCACATAATGATATGCCCCGTATTGCACTTGCCGGTTGCAGGTTCTCGCGGTCAGTGAACGATGGCACTGTGAAGGTGCTGCTCAAGGGAGTCAACTACATGATCTGGGCCTACTCTGACGGCTCTCAGACCTTCGCCCAGCACCCTATGAGTAACATGTAGGCACCTTGCGGAACCCACCAGGATCTCTTAGAACCTCCCAGCATCTCCCAGAACCCTTGATTCCCTCCCCACCCCCCACACCCCACTTTTTTTGTCTATTCTTTTCTTTTCGTGCGCTCCACGCTTCGTTCTGCACACGCTAGAAGTTTTGCCCCCAACAGACACGTTCTGCACCCATACATATATGTATGCCCTTGTGTACTCTTCTATAATGCCTCGTACCTTTCCATACCTTTCTATTCGCTTTTATACCCATCTACACCCTTCTCCCACACCTCTTCTCTTGGACGCATTGTTCGTCACCTGTTCTCACAGGAGACCTGTGTCAGTGTAGTTGCAGTGTGCGTTATCTGTACTTACTACAGCTTCCACGCTTCCACCAACAGCACTGGGTCGTTGCCCTCTTCTCCTCTTCCCATCTCCCCCTCTCCCCTTCTCCCGCTCTTCCCTCTTTCCCTCTTTCCCCCTCCTTCTCGTCCCCTCTCTCCCTCTTCCCTCTTGCCTTCTCCCTCTTTCCCTTCTCCCCCTCGTCCTTGTGCTTTCCTCCGCGCAGGGGTTCCAAGGCAATCGACTACAGCTGCCCCTCTTCCACCAGCAGTGGCGGCAGCAGCGGTGGCACCGGCAGCACCGACAGCACTGGGAACACTGGCAGCACGGGCAGCACGGGCAGCACGGGCAGCACGGGCAGCACGGGCAGCACGGGGAGCACAGGGAGCACGGGGAACAGCAGCAGCAGCAGCAACAGCAGTGGGTCGTCGTCCTCCCAGTCACAGGGGTCCGCCTGCCAGCCCTCCTCCCTCCCGGGCTACACCTGCTCCGCTCAGCTCAGGCAGAACGCGTGAGTGCGGAACGCGTGAGTGCGGAACGCGTGAGTGCGGAGTATCTGCAAGTGGCCTGCTCTGCTCTGGTCCGTGCTGTTTCTTTGAGTATAACTAGTTCGTCTCCTTCTATTCCTGCTCCACTGAGCTCAGGCAAAACGCGTGAGTGCGTGTTTGAGCTGGTTCTGTAAGTACGTGTGGTTTGTTTCCCCCCAGTATGCACCTGCTTCTTTCTGCTGAGCACGAACGGGGTCTGATGTAGTACTTTGTTCCTCCTGTGGCTGGGGGAGGGCCTTAGCATTCCCAAAGTCACACTCCCGTTCTTCTCCCCCTCCCTCTCCCCCTCCCTCTCCCCCTCCGCTTACCCTTTCTCCCTGGTTCAGCTACATCCTGCACTGGGCGGTCAACAGGGACAGCACAGTGAACCTTGAGTCGCCCCTGATACTCTCTCTTGTCCCCATTCACTTCCCCCTCTCTGCCCTTCCTCCTTTTCTTCCTCGTCTGATGCAGATACATCCTGCACTGGGCGGTCAACAAGGACAGCACAGTGAGCATAGCGGCACAGGTCGCTACCACAGGCTACATTGGCATTGGTTTCTCTAAGGACGGCCAGATGATCAACTCTGACGCAGCCATTGGGAACGTGCCACCTGGCACGCTGGCCAATGGGGCGGCGGTGGGGCCGTATTACATGAGCGGGCGTGCCGTGGCGTCGGTGCAGCAAACTGACTTGTGGAAGGTTACCAACACGTCGGTTACCACCAGCCAAAATGGTTACACCATTATACGGTAAGGACGAGGAGGTGTGGGGCCGTATTACATAAGTGGGCGTGACGTGGCGTCGGTGCAGCAAACTGACACGTGGAGGGTTACCAGTGCCAATGGATACACTATCATCAAGTGAGTTTTGAGGCGCCTCAAAAGTTACCAACACGTCGGTTACCACTTCAAATGGATACACTATAATCAAGTGAGTGAGTAAGCACAGTATCAAATGAGCGGGCATGAGGAAAAGTCGGTGTAGCTAACTGATTGTGGAGTGTTACCTTCACGTTGTTTACCACTGCAAATGGATACACTATAATCAAGTGAGTAAGCATAGTGATTAGTGGGCGGGCATGATCGGCAGTCGGTGCAGCCAACTGACACGTGGAATGTTAGCAACACGTCTGTTACCAGCCAAACGGTTACGCGATCATCAGGTGAGGATGATGCTGAGATGTGGGGCCGTATCAATGGATGATGGGACAGGTGGAGTGGAGTGTTACCATACCACACTGGTTACCCCACAGCAGCATACAAACTCACGTGCAGCATGGGCACGGGCATGTGCTCATGAATGCGTTTCTGTTCTCGCTGTTCAAGCCAACCCCTCCCTATTCCCCCATAACCCGCTTCCCTCTTCCCCCTGTCTCCCTCTCCCCCCCAGGTTCACTCGCAGCATGGGCACGGGGCATGTGCCCATCAATGCATTCCTGTTCTCACTGTTCAAGCCTTCCCCTACCTACCTCCCCCCTTGCCTCCCCCCTTGCCTCCCCCCTTGCCTCCCCCCTTGCCTCCCCCCTTGCCTCCCCCAGGTTCACTCGCAGCATGGGCACGGGGCATGTGCCCATCAACCCATCGGGCCCCACCACCATCATCTGGGCCTACTCGCCTGATGGCTCCACTACCCTCGCTTTTCATGCCAGCAACTAGTGAGTCGCATGTCATTGCACTGCGTGGCATGGCCTTTTTGCACCATGGCGTGCCATGGTGTGGCATGCATGCCGCCACCACCATCATTGGGGGCTATTCGCCTGATGGCTCCACCACCCTTGCTTTCCACGCCAGCAACTAGTGAGCGTCACGGTGGCATGGCATGGCATGGCATGGCATGCATTGGCATTCCATAAGTCATGATTCATTGCTTTGCCCTTACTTGGTGTGCATGGCATGAGATGCCATGCTTCTGAATACATGATATGGCAAGCCATCGAATGAGATACACAGCGTTAGATGAATTGCCCACAGCAACACTTACACATAATCCCCCCCTCCCCTCCCAACCCAGCCCCTTTCCCGGATATGTCCCCTGCTAAACCCAGCGGCTCAGGCTCAATTGACTTTATCAAGGGCACTAGCACAGCAGGCGAGGGCAGCAGCACAGCCACCTACATCATTCTTAACCCCCTCCCTCCCCCGTGTGCCCCATGCTAATCCCTGCAGTGGCTCAGGCTCAATTGATTTCATAAAGGGCACAACCACAGCAGGCGAGGGCAGCAGCACAGCGGCGTACATCGCCCACGGGGCCCTCCTCTCCATCGCCTTCGCCCTCCTCATGCCCCTCGCCATCCTCCTCGCCCGCCTCCTCCTCGCCGACCGCCCCTCCGGTGCTCTCCTCAACACCAACCCCGCATACGCCCCTGCCAATGCCAACGGGAACACATCTCCCCAGCAGCAGCCCGGAAAGAACCTTCGGCCGCTGGGGTTCCAGCTACATAGGGGTATTCAGTTGTTCGCGCTCGTGGTCGCAGTGTCGGGGACGGTTGTGATATTTGTGCAATCCGGGTCGAAAGGGCTGAGCTGGACGCATGGGCAGGTGGGGTTGGCTGCTGTGATTCTCGCGCTGGTGCAGGCTGTGGTGGGGTTTGTGCGACCGGATAAAACCGCTCCGAACCGCTTCAAGTGGCTGGTGGTGCACTGCCTAATTGGGGCTACAACTATAGGGCTTGCATGGGCAGCCATGTTCCTTGGCATCGACCTCTACCACACCAAGTTCATGCAAAACGTTACGGTGAGTCTTTGGGACACGTTACGTGCTGCTTTCATTGTTATAATTATTTACAAGAGCTGGTGAGAGAGGAAGGGCCTGAATGGGTGGGGTGGGGGAGGGGGCTGGGAAGGAAGGGGCTGAGTTGGGTGTTTCCATGCACTGTTTCTTCTTTCTCCCCTGCCTTTGCTCCTGCAGTGGTGCTACTGGGTCTGCGGCGTGTGTGTGGGCATTTTCGGCGTGGCATACCTGGTGTTGGTGATTCCCGATAGCATTCTTTCATTGAAAGCACGTAAGGGTCAGAGTGAAGCTGGAAAGGGCACACCTGCTGCTTTCTGAATGGACGGGATCAGCAGCTACGTTTGGAAGCCAAGCCACCCGCAAAGTAGAATAAAATAGAGTGGGGATATCCTCGTCTCTAAACAATTGCATTTGTCCGAGAGGATGGCGTTCAGTACTACCGTATTGTTGGTAGTGTCTGATAGGAGTTGTGCTTTTGTGTCGTCTTTGGTAATAGTGGAATTAGGTATATCAGGCAAACGAATCAGCCTGCACTTGGGTCTCTGCCATTCCTCCTGATGTGCACCTGCTGATCACCATTTTGCAACCTGGCAAGAGGTGCAATTGAGTATTATTCACCTTATTGATTGTCGTTCGGCCATAGCACCTACAGTGTTCCTCGCATGACTATCAAAACTCTCTGTCGCGATGCAGTCCAACACCAGCAGGGATCAGCTGTGCGAGTGTGACTGGCTGGCGGCATTCCCTCCCAAGGCTCATCCACTTCCCTCTCAAGGACTGCCTGAATGAGCATCAAAGTTCAAATTCACCTCCAGTTAGTTAGCAGGTGATTGAAATACTATACCGTGTGACTGATAGACTTTGTTGGTCACCGAAACTTTTGCCATGGCTCTGGCTGCCGCACCTTCCGCTGCGTGGCGGCTCGCCGTCTCCAGCGCGCTGACCTCGGGAGTCACCGCCGGGTCGGGCGCCGAGAACTCGCGTTGCTGCGCCAATGTATGTGGATCCTCGTTTTGGCGCGCCAAGATATTGTCGTTTTGTCGCGCCTTAACAATCCTCTAGGCTTCCTTGAGGTTTGGATTGAGTGCGACAAAATGCGTTGCTGTGCCCATGCATATCTGTGGTGGGTCTGCACATTGTTTCTTTCTTTCTTTCTTTCTCTTCTATTCCAAAAGAGTGCTCACCCCATTGTCTGTGGATCCTCACAACATTGTCTTTTTATTAGCACTGTTTGTGTTCTAGGGTTTCGTAAGAGTTACGTTACCGATCCTTACCTTAAGTCTCTATTATCCGTGCCTTTCCTCCTTTCCTGGAGTTTCAGGATGCTTCATTCGCTGCTCCGAGGAGTCTCTCCGCCACGCCCCGCGGGTCCCGCCTAGTTGCGCGCGCCAAGTTTCAGGGCTTCAACCAGTCGGTGGGGGAGGCGCAGGAGGCGGACGGCGCAGCCGTTGCGCCGGCGAGCGCGGAAGAGAACGGCGCAGCCGTTGCGGCCGCCGCGGAGGGAGCCGCGGAGGAGCGGGACGCGGGAGGACGCGACGACGAGTGAGTCACTTCTCCCGAACCTGGCTGCGTTCGTTGGACATTCATACACTCATGCTTTCATGCATTCATAACACATTGGCTTCCAATCGTCTCTAATTGTTATGTTCTTATCGCCTTCTGGGTCGGTGTTCGCCTCGCTTTCCCCGTCCTCGTTTTCCCCCTCCTCTGCCTCCTCGTCTGCCTCGCAGCGTGCTCCCTACAGACCTGGACAGCGCTGCGCGCCAAGCAGCGCAGTCAGCGTGTTGTCTTTGAGTCGAATCAAAAGTCAATTCGCCTCTCGCCTTCCCCTTCTTGTGCCTCGCAGCGTGCTCCCCACGAACCTGGACGGCATACATTGATGCATTGGCTTCACATTTTCTCTCTGTTGTGGCCTTCTTGTCGTCTTCTGGGTGCACTTTCCCCCCCTCGTCTGCCTCGCAGCGTGCTCCCAACGGACCTGGACGGCGCTGTGCGCCAAGCAGGGGAATCTGCCGCCTACTTCTGCAACGGAGGCGGCACCCGCGCCATTGTGAGTGCGCTGCTGCTGAAAGCTGCTGTGCAGCACAAGCGTCATTTTCAGTGCGCTGCTGCACTGCACCCGCGCCATTGTGAGTGCGCTGCTGCTGAAAGCTGCTGTGCAGCACAAGCGTCATTTTCAGTGCGCTGCTGCACTGCACCCGCGCCATTGTGAGTGAGTGCGAACGAATCTTCAAATCCAGCTGAAACTCTCACAAGATGAATATATGCCATTTAATCGAAATCAGAAAGCGAAAGCAATATTCTTGAGCCACTTGGGTTTACTGTCTCGTCCGTGAGATGAGACACAGTCAGACCCTCAATTGTCGTCACAAGACGAGACGAGTCATACTTAGGTGACTTTTCAGTCGACTCAAAAGTCGAGACGAGTCAGAGCCGCGGGAATGGCCGAGCGACCCCCACCAAGTCTCATTGGGGAGAGCGCAAGAATTGGGGAGGAAGGAAGCTTCCTCTCCATCCCGCGGACACAGAGGCCCTCTTTCCTCCTCGTCTTCTTGTCTCTCCCCGGAGTGACAGAAAGGTGGGGAGGAGTGGGCCGGGGGAGGTATAACCAGCCCTGGGCGAGCTCAAGACATGCTGCACAGGTTGAAGCCTCCCCCACATGCGCCTGTGCACGATCAGGCTGGCACACACGCCTTAAACGTATAGCATTTCGCATAGACCTGAGTCTAAGTTCGGTGCTCTTCCAATTGGAGGGTGGTGTGGTGCTCTGTCCTTCCCTCGTCCCTTGTTCCCATGCCTGCTGGCAGGTGGAGCTGCTGGTATCAGATCTGGAGATCAAATCAGAGCGGTGCAGTGCGGTTATCTGTTCCCATTCCTCCCATCCCTCCTCCCATTTCTCCCATTCCTCCCATTCCTCCCATTTCTCAAATTCCTCCCATTCCTCCCATCTCTCAAATTCCTCCCATTCCTCCCATTCATCCCTCCCTGCTGCCAGGTGGAGCTGCTGATATCAGATCTGCAGATCAAATTAGATTAGAGCGGTGCGGTGCGGTGCTCTGTTCCCATTCCTCCCATCCCTCCTCCCAATCCTCTCACTCTTCCCATGTATCCCTGCTGACAGGTGGAGCTGCTAGTACCTGATTTGGAGATCAAATCGGACGAAGGCGCGCAGCAGCTGCTCTGGGATACCAGCCGCACCTTCCTTGACTCCCTCAAGGGCCACCTGGACTTTGAGGTGAGGCGTGGTGCAGTTCGGTACAGTGCGGTGCAGTGTGGTGCAGTGCGGTGAAGCCAGATGAACCCAGGTGAGGTGCAGCAGCTGCTCTGGGATACCAGCTGCACCTTCCTCGACTCCCTCAAGGGCCACCTCGACTTCGAGGTGAGACGTGGTGCAGCGTGGTTCATTGCGGTGAAACCAGGTGAATCCAGATGAGGTGCAGCAGCTGTTGTGGTACACCAGCCGCGTCTCCTTTAGCCCCTCAACAGCCTCCTGGATTTTAAGGTCACGTGCGGTGCAGTGCGGTGCAAAGCGATGCAGCATGTGCAGTGCAGCCAGGTTAGCTGTAGCAAAAGCCAGCAACTTAGCATCATGGTGCAGTGCGGTGAAGTCAGGTCAGCTGCGGTGGAAGTGGATCTCGCTGCATCTGTGAACCTGTCCTTTCTCTCTGAACTTTCTCCCCTCTCACCCCTCCCTCCACGCACTCCCTCGCCCCCAACCCCTCTCCCCCCTCCCTTGCTCAACAGAACGTGAGGGCCATTTTCCCGGATGCGGGGTCAGCAGCGCTCCTCAAGAACCAGTGGCCCGACGCGCCTTTCGCCTTCTCGAGCCTCATGGACCGCAAGCCAGTGCAGGAGCAGGACGACGTGGTCGTGCTCATCACCCCCGAGTACCAGCAGCTCAGCGTGGTCGAATCCATAGGCGGCATGCTGGCCACAGAGGACGGCTTGACCCGCCCCCTGATTATGTATAACCCGCGGCTGGTCAGTGGAGATGTGGGCGTGGGGTTGAACGTGCGGCGGCTGAGGGAGCGGTTCCTGTCGACGTTTACGACCGCGTTCTGCCTGCGGCCGCTGCCTGTGGGAGCGATCTACCGGCGGTACCCCAAGTGAGTTCAGAGTGTGGACCGTGTTGACCGTGTTGACCGTGTTGACTGCTCAATGGAAGTTCCTTTCATCGTCCACCTTTCTTTCCTTTTTTTGCTCTCCGTTTTATTTGTTTGGTTTGTTTTCTGTTGCCTCGAAGCTCTGGTATGCGTTGCCAGTAGCAGTTCATTCACCCCTTTTGTTGCAATTTGAAATTGATAAAATATATTGCTCTTCTGCTTGCTCTCCTCGTAGCCCATGGCAGTTGTATTTGGATGATCCTAACGAGCCAGGCCGATACATTTTGTTGCGGCAACAAGGGTCCAAACCTAACATCGATGATATCGAGGTGAGCTTTGTAACGATATACTAGCCTTGTATGTGGTATTTCTCTTACCACCTGTTATCATATGCTCACTGTTTTTTATTTCCATGTGGGCAGGAAATGTACATGGCTGCATCGGGAGGGGGTGAGCCTGGAGCAGAAGAGCCATCGTTCATCGAGCAGGCTTTTGGAGTTATTTCATCATTCAACAGGTTCATGCAATCTCTTTCCAAGTAAAGGACGGATCTGTATATACTCTAGTTCTACTAGTTCACTTGCCTGGATGGATGTTTGGAAAATGAATTTCTATAACACCCTTGCTTTATATAATGTGTGCACTTGCTTCTCAGTATATGCATTGACATGGAATAGCCGAATCGGCTCACCTTCCGTCGCTGGAACGTGGACTGGCGTGTCTGTTTGCTGGTTCCGATACGCTCACCAGCTATTCTCCAGACATCTGGGAGCATGCATCCACTAGGTGTCCGTGAGCTGCTGCCACGCGTTCAGGGATGGTACGGCAATTTCAAGGGCCCGCGCCGGGGAAGCCAATCACAACCAAGGACACAAAAATCCGGTCCGCCAATCAGGCCTTCTCCATGTCAGCCCCACAAACCTCCAGCATAGACTCCTGCACCTTGCTCGCCTCAAGGCAACCAGCACAAAGTGAGGGGTGGTAGACGGTGTTGGAGAAACATTGCGGGATTCGGTTCCTTTCTGTGTGGTGGTGAGGGATTATGAATCTTGACCATCTGGGATAATGGCTACTTGAGTTCAAGCTACTTGTCTATGGTGTCTGGGAATAGGAAGCTTTCTATCAGCAGTCTCGATGCCGCGTCGTTTTTGGTTTATAGAACTTAATCGGCCACGGTGGTAGTCGGGTCGGGACTTTTGGGCTTAGCCACGCTTCACCTATACAAACCCAGGCCTAGTCTGGACAAGAAGTGTTTCTCCTCAACTACTTGTTCATTTCTCTAGCGTCCGTTGTCTTTGTCCCAATACTCAACTACAGGATCCTCCCATACTGCGTTACACATCCAGAATACCACATACATATTACAGAAAACTACAGCGAGCCATGAGTGCGACGGCAGCTGGCTTGGCCACGGCGGGATGGATTCCATCCACGTCCATTCACACACATACGCCACCAGAGGCGAGCTACCGATCTAATAATTCCTTAACCCTGAGAACATCCGCACAGCCACCACGTTCGTCGCATTCACCTCGTTCAGCTCATCCAAGGGCTTTATTACGTACGGGTACCGCCTGCAGAACCGCTAGCCGACAAGCAGATCTGGGCTCGGCGGTGGGCCGCTCGAATCTCGGAAGCCGGCGACGTGATTCGCGAAGCAGGCTCACCTCGCGCAGACTCGTGCAGGTAGTGCTTTTCGTCGGGTTGCAGTCTCTATGGCTGCCTGCATTTTGATAAGTGAGCTTGGGGCTCTAATCTGTTATCGTTGAGTCGTAGATGATTCGCTGGTCTTTGGCGGGAATGCAGATGTGTCTGCTACAGATATGCCTCGTTATGCGAAACAGGGTTACCAAAAATCTCTTAATACCCACTCCATTGAACCCTACTACGCTCCATGTCGGCCCATCCTCCCATCCTCCTATCCTCCTATGCTCCAATGCACCTATGCTTGTCCTCTCTCCAGACCAACGCCAGCCAAACCTCCGGCGCCGACGGCGACGGTAGCAGCAGCAGCGGCGGCGGCGGGAAGGGCGACGACGACGCAATGTCGCTGGCGGCGGAGGCAGGCGGGATGGACTGGCGGACGTTCCGCGCCAAGCTGGTTGCCGGCCATGAGGCCACGCGGAGCGTCTCCGCGCCCTCCCCCGCGCAGGAGGCGGTGGGGCTCGAGATCTGGCAGGTGCGGTGGTAATGTTGGGATTGGCATCCGCGTGTGATGATACGACCATTAAGCCTAATACAGAGTCGCGTCATTCCGCGCAGAGGCAGCGGGTTCAAAATCTAGCAGGTACAGTGGTACAGGTAGGGGTGATTCTTATTCGGGGCCTAAGAAACTGGCTCGGGATCTGACAGGTGCGGTGCTGTGGGTGGGTTCAATTGCTCTAGGCGCCTAAAGAACGTGCTTTAGGTCTGGTCCCTGCGTTGGTGCAGGTGGGGTTGAGACCCTGACAGAAAACCGATGCTCGGTGAAAGGCTTGGTGCACAGTAACTTGAGACGGAATACCGGTCCCCTTTTTTCTCCTTTGTGGTTCCTCTAGTCGCACGTTTCAACCAACGTTTATTCTGCCGCTCTTTCCCCCTCACCCGGACCCCATCACCATCCATCACCAGGATTCAACCCCATCACCATCCATCACCAGGATTCAACCCCATCACCATCCATCACCAAAATTCAACCCCATCACCATCCATCACCAGGATTCAACCCCATCACCATCCATCACCAGGATTCAACCCCATCACCATCCATCACCAGGATTCAACCCCATCACCATCCATCACCAGGATTCAACCCCATCACCATCCATCACCAGGATTCAACCCCATCACCATCCATCACCAGGATTCGCGTGAGCCTCGAGAAGTGGGCGCTGCTAGCCAAGCCAAGGCGGCCCTCTTTCCCCCTGTCTACTCTCCCTGGCCCCCATGTAACAAATTCTCCTGCGCCTACTCGTCCGTCTCCTAACCCCCTGCACCCCCCGCACCCCCCGCACCGCGCCATGAACATCACCAGGACCGCATGAGCCTGGAGAACTGGGCGCTGCTAGCCTCGCAGAACCCGCGCCTGGCAAAAGAGGTCCCCTGGGTGCACTCCACGGGGGGCGCGGAGGCGGGGGGCGTGCTGCTCGCCGCGCCATTCTCCCAGATTCCGGTGCAGGGGGGAGGGGAAGGGGGAGATGGAGCGGGGGGAGCGGGCGCGGGCGGGATGGACAGGCGGTTGTGGCAGGCGGCTGTGTTTCTGGTGGAGCATGGCGGGGCGGGCAGGGAGTCGTGGGGGCTGCTGCTGAACCGACCATCGGGTTTCACGATTCAGATGGTGAGCGCATTTGGCATGTGAGAACGTTAAGAAGCGGCTATTACGGCTCCTCAAAAGTAGTTCCGGTGGAGCATGGGGGGGCGGGCAGGGAGTTGTGGGGGCTGCTGCTGAACCGACCTGTGACACGATTCAGATGGTGAGAGCGAGCATTCGGCATGTGGGAGGGTTTTGAATGTGGACTGTGCGAGCGTGAAGAAACGACGTTTGAGGCTGCTCCGAGGTAGTTCTGGTGAGCGCATTCGGAATTTGAGAGGGTTCAGAAGGTGAGAGCATTTGGAAATGTGAGAGGGTTCAGAAGGTGAGAGCATTTGGAAATGTGAGAGGGTTCAGAAGGTGAGAGCATTTGGAAATGTGAGAGGGTTCAGAAGGTGAGACCATTTGGAAATGTGAGAGGGTTCAGAAGGTGAGAGCATTCGAAATCTGAGAGGGTTCAGAAGGTGAGAGCATTCCGAATTTGAGAGGGTTCAGAAGGGGAGAGCATTCGGAATCTGAGAGGTTTCAGAACAGGAGAGCATTCGGAATCTGAGAGGTTTCAGAACGTGAGAGCATTCGAAATCTGAGAGGTTTCAGAAGGTGAGAGGATTCGGAATTCGAGAGGTTTCAGAAGGAAAGGGGATTCGGAATTCGAGAGATTTCAGAAGGAAAGACAGGGTGGAGGATGTGTCGCTGGCTGTGTTTTCCCATCGTCCCTTCCTTCCATGTGCCCCGTTCTTCCCCCTTCCCAGGCGCTAGCGAAGGTGAACCGGGTGGAGGAGGCATCGCTGGCAGTGTTTGCACGCAACGCCATCTACATTGGCGGGTTCAAGTCCGACGGCAGCACTCTCTACTTCCTTCACGGCCACGACCTGCCCGGGGCCAAGGAGGTGCGCTCTAGGGCTCTACACCTTTTTCCCTGCCCATGCATCTCTGCCCCTCCCTGCTTTTGTCCCGTACTCTCTACTCCCTGGATGGCCACGACCTCCCAGGGGCCGTCCAGGGGCCGTGATAGGAAATGGCGCTGCCTCTTGATCCACCACTTAGGATAGGTGATCCAGTGTGGGAGAAGCTGGATGATACGGCCCATAGCCGTGCAAGATTATCTCTTTCAAGGAGCCTTGGGAGGGATGCAGGGAAGGGAAGGGCCACACGTGGATGTGCTACCGTTAACCCTGGAGGGGAGACGAGAGAGAAGGGGTTAACGGTAGCACATCATCTCCTTTCTCGCCTCCTTCTCAAACTTCTTTACAATCATCTCACCTCCAAGGTTAACGGTAGCACATCCACGTGTGGTGCTTCCCTTCCCAGTTTTCCTCCCGAGGCTCCTTGAAAGAGATAACCTTGCACGGCTATGGGCCGTACTCATCAAGCTTCGCCCACACTGGATCGCATATCCTAAGTGGTGGATCAAGAGGCAGCGCCATTACTTATCATGCTAAACCTGCTTTTGGGTCAAGGAGGTGCGTACATGTGTGCGTGCCATGCCTCGCCACGCCATGCCTCGCCACGCCATGCCTCGTCATGCCATGCTTGTCTTGCTGAAATCCTCACCCATCCGTCAGGTCATGCCTGGGGTGTTCCTCGGAGGGCTGGATGCAGCAGCGGAGCAGATGCTCCTCGTCCTCATGCCCTTCGCTTCTTCAGTGTGCCTGCATCTGTTTCACCTTTGCTACCCCCTTCTCCTCATGCCCGTCATCCCTTCGGGTCATGCCTGGCGTGTACATGGGAGGGCTGGAGGCAGCAGCAGAGCCGGTGCTTCTTTGAAGGTGTCTCCCTCCCCATCAACATGCCTTCATACAACATGCCTTCATGTGTTTGCCCTTCATGTCACTCTCTTCCTCGTGCCCGTGGCCCCCTTCAGGTCATGCCTGGCGTCTACATGGGAGGGCTGGAAGCAGCAGCGGAGCAGGTGCTTCTGGGCAAGATGCCTCCCTCTGACTTCAGATTCTTTGTCGGGTATGTTCGGGCCTTGCTGAATGTTGTACTGGCTTTTGAGAATTCTAATAAGTGACTCCAAAGCAGCAGAGCAAATGCTTCTGGGCAACATGCCTCCGTCTGACTTCAGATTCTTTGTCGGGTATGGCCGGAACTTCCAGAATATATGGACTGGTGAAGTTGGTGCGATAAGATCCCACCTGGTATCAGTTACTTTCCCTAAAGGGTTTTCTTGTTCTCGTCTTTCCTGTTTCTCACTGTTTCTCGTTGCTAACATTCTCCACCTTAAACCATTCTTACTGTTCCCATGACTGTTTCTATAGTTGTTTATGTTATCAACCATGACCGTTCCATCCCATGTGAGTGATGCCAGCAAGTGGAGTGGCAGGCAGGCAAGCTCCAGGGGGAGATGGATGCGGATCCTATTCCAATGATAGTCCCTAAGTTTCTGTCTGCAATTAACCTTGACTGTTCCCGTTATTGTTCCCATCCCATGGTGGTGATGCCAGGCAAGTGGAGTGGCAGCCGGGCAAGCTCCAGGAGGAGGTGGATGCGGGTGCTTTTGAGTCGACTCAAAAGCAGACTCATTACATGAGGAGGTGGATGCAGGCCTGTGGCACACTGCAGCATGTGCCAGAGGCCTCGTGCTCAAGCTGTGCTTGCAGCTTCTTGAACCCGTTTTCATCTTTTTTCCCGTTTTTGTTCCCATCCCATGGTGGTAATGCCAGGCAAGTGGAGTGGCAGCCGGGTAAGCTCCAGGAGGAGGTGGATGCAGGCCTGTGGTACACTGCAGCGTGCGCCAGAAGCCTCGTGCTCAAGCAGTGCTTGCAGCTTCCCAAGCCCCTCTGGTAAGCTCTGATTCTACTCAAAGGTGGATGCAGGCCTCTGGTACACTGCAGCATGCGCCAGAAGCCTCGTGCTCTAACTGTGCCTGCAGCTGCCTAAACCCCTCTGGTAAGCTCGTCCCGCCTCAATCCCGAGCATGCGTGTGGTGGTGACTGTTGAGTCAACTCAAAAGTCACCTCGTGCTCAAACAGTGGTTGCAGCTGCCCAAACCCCTCTGGTAAGCTCGTCCCTACCGGTCCCTGAGCCATGCGTGCGTGTCTTGTGTGCATTGTCCGAGCCATTCGTGCTTTGCTGTGCGCTGTGTTGGGCCGCAAGAGAGGTTGAAGACTTGGTGAATGTCATGTTCTGTGTGGTGCCTCGGTCATATGCAGGCGGGAAATGCTGGAGCTGATGGGAGGAGAGTATGCTGAGACCGCGAGGAAGGAATTTGGAGAAAGCACTTGATACCACTTATGGAAACCGGCACACAGCCCCCGTTGGCTTTGTATAGGAGTACTATAGTGGTATTTGGTTACCGTGATGCATAGCTCCTTAGTGAATCAATCAATGTCACACTTATTGTGACGAGAACGAGATTTCAAGGATGGACGGCCATATTAGTAACAATTCCAACTTAGCCTATGCCCTTGAGTAGTATAGCTGGAAAATTCATGATATATATCCCCACTAGCTAGAAACCTCTTCAACCTATGCGTATATCGCGCATAACCAGGTGGTGGCCGTGAGCCATGTGTCTGGTTACTAGCCTTTCAGTTTAGTTCTAAGTGCGTTTCAGATCGGTGTTGTACGATGCTGCTAGTTTCCCCAGCAGCCGTGTAGCCTGCATTTTTGTTCCCCGCCGCCTTTCCCAACCAACCCCAGGTGGTTTGGTGCGGCAACAACAGATCAAGGTTGCGTGTACTGAACTGGGCTTGATGGTAAAGGCCCACCCAGATAGTTCGGCGCTTATCTGGGCTAGGCTCGGTCAAGGAGGTTTGTGGTGGAAGAGGGGCGGGTTCCAAGACTTGCTATTGGTGGGTAGCGTATATTCCGGTTCGGGTAGTCCGGTTTGGGCAGCTGCTGGTTGGTCGATTCCTTGGTCGCTGGTGCCCTTATCTCCTTAGCCTGTCTGACCTGGTGACTGCGGGCGGGTCACGTTATGTCGTTTCCTCGGTTGCGCAATGGTCGAATGCGGTGAAAACCAAAGAGCCGTTTGTAACCATTTGGTAACGTATTGCACCGCGCGAAACGAACATTGAAGAACAAACCACCCACACAAAATGCCTATGTTGCACCGCGCGTGGGTCCCTAGATTGGTTCGCCGATATGTTTTTTTCTGGAAACGAGAATTGTCGCCTAGTTGTTAGGTCTTCTTCCTGGCATTGTTAGGAGAAAGCACGAGTCTGGTTGTTTAGTCCTTGGATAATTTAGGTATCACTGTGGTCTGTTTGTAATGTTGTCTGACGCACAAGCCATATTCTCTGACGCTGTCCTATTTATTATAGTACGTCTCAGCTTTAGGATTTTTTACGCTCAGAATGTCGTCACTGCCTCACACGCGAGCCGCTAAGCCGAGCGGCGTCGCTCTCGGGAGTCGCGCACGCGAGCCTAAAGTCGGTCGCGGACGTCGCATGCGACATCAAGACGCGGAGGATCCCGGTTCTCCGTACGCCACTCGTTCAGCCGGAAACAGATCCATGCTCTCCACCACCCAATGGTGCTCCATACTCGTTATCATCATCTTCGCTTTCGTTTCAGGCGCAGTGATTGTCCTTCAGTTAACGGAACATCGCAGCGTGTCTTCCGCTCTCGCGAAGCTCCAGCAAACTGGAACCGGCATTGGAAACCACGCCTTGATCGCGCTGAACCTTCGTCTCCCAGGGAAGAAAGTGGGGAGCCTAACGGCGGATACGCATCACCACGTGAAGCATTTGTTCGAACAACGGTTCCTGTACTATGGGGATATGATCGACTCCACAACTACCGACTGCGGTAGCGTCAACGAACAGGTACATGTTTTTTCTTCTTCCTCTTTTTATTCAAGAATCTGTCAAATAGAATGCTATTTCTGTAGTACGGAATATCAGGGACGTTCCAGATTCACCGCATTCGTGCTACCTCTGCGTTCTTGGGCCATCTTATCCGCCTAACTCTTCGCTTGTAACTCCCTCGTCTCTCCCCTCGCTTCCTCATGCCGCACTGCGTCTCGCTCCCTCTCGTTTCTCTCCCCTCATCGCCCTTACGCGTCGCGTGGTAATCTCCCTCAAGAGTGCGATGCGAATTCCAAGACTGATTGACTCGTTGTTCTCGCTTGCCCTCGTCCGCGTATGCAGCTTTCCAGCCTGCGGTGTGCGATGGAGGAGGCACTTCTGACCAACAGGTACGGTGCTGGCCAACAGGTACGGTGCTGACCAACAAGTACGGTGCTGACCAACAGGTACGGTTCTGCCAACAGGTACTGACCGACAGGTACGGTGCTGACCGACAGGTGCGGTGCTGACCAACAGTACGGTGCTGACCAACAGGTATGGTGCTGACCAACAGGTACGGTGCTGACCAACAGGTACGGTGCTGGCCAACAGGTAGGTGCTGGCCAGCAGGTACGGTACTGCGATAGACAGCAGCAAAAAATGGAGGATTTAATGCAGCGGAATAAGGTGAGTTTTTGAGATAAAAAGCCTGAAAGTTTAATTTTAATCGGGTGAGCTAATAGCTTTCCGTGTCACCCACCCACCCAGCCTAGCATGCAGCTCCCTAAAACCATACGATGTAGATTAATTAATTCACCTCGACAGTACAAAGGATTGAACTCAATGGAGAGTCATGGGAGAAATTGCTGCAAGGGTTGTCAGTTTCGATTGGAAAAAGTTGCGCATTGTGGGGTAGAATAACTTACTGTCCAGATTGAATGAAGCAACTAACTATGCGTTTGCAGGTTCTTACCATGCACTTGAGAAGTACTCACCTCGTGTATATCAGAAGTACAACGCCCAAAGTGTCATGTGTGACGTATCAAGATATACAGAATGAAGTTGGTCGCAGCCCACAGTACATGCTGTAGGTTCTGGTGTGTGCTGTATGCGAACCTACTATTTCAGTGCCGACAGCACATTGTAACATGTTACCACGCAAATTGAACACAATGCACTACACCGTATACTGTCTTGAAAGACAGCATGCAGAATGCAGGCAGCAGTTGAGAGACTCCTTGCAACTTTGAAACTCTGTCGTCTATATGTACCTCTCATCATTCGAATCCCCATCATTCTCCAACACCAATACCTTATCCTGATGGATTCTTTCTTTCACTTTCTCTCACTCCATGCCCTGCCCCTCATCCACTCTCGTGTCATTCGGTGTCATCTCGGTGTCATCTCGGTGTCATCTTGGTGTCAACCAGAACGTTTGTGCTGCCTCGCCACATCTGCATCCGCCCAGCCTTCAACATCGACGCTGCCAGGATGTGAGGGCCTCCTTCCCTCCTTCCTTCCTTCCCTCCTTCCCTCCTTCCCTCCTTCCCTCCTTCCTTCACTGCATTGCATTGCACTCCCGTATTGAGGCGCCTCAAAACTCGCCACATCTGCATCCGCCCAGCCTTCAACATTGACGCTGCTAGGATGTGAGCGCCTCCTTGCTTCCTGCACCGCATTCCACCCCTTTGATTTCCTGTCATGCATATTTCCCTCCACCGACACACACCATATCAGTGCCTCTTCCACCGTTTCATGTTTCTCCCATCCTCACATTCTGTCCTCAAACCCCCTCCACCCTTACCTCCCCCTCAACCCCCTCTCCCTGCCGTCCGCTCTCCTCCCCTCCCTTCCCCACCTCTTCCTCTCTTTCGATAAGCCAATTCTCATGCGCTTCATCTCCTCTTCCCGTCCTCCCCCCCCTTCCGATAAGCCAATTCTCATGTGCTTCATCTCCCCTGTCTGTCCCTTCGTTCAGCAAGCCTTCGCCTCGCCTCGGCCATCCCATTGTCCCTCAACCAGCAATCGCCCTCATCCTTTGATTCCCCATACCCGTACCCATACCCGTACCCGTACCCATACCCATACCCATACCCATACCCATACCCATACCCATACCCATACCCATACCCATACCCATGCTTCTAGAGGGCTTCTTGGACCTCAAAGCCATTTCCATAGCCCTGGTCTGGTCATGTCACTGACTGACCCACGATGCTCATGCATGCGCACACCTATGGCCCCAACTCCCTTTACCCTCTCTCACTGCAGCACGCCATCAGAGTGATTACATCCCAAACGGAGATGCTTCTAGAGGTCCCTGTTGACTTCGAAGCCATCTCCAAAGCTCTCTTTCACTTCCTTGGCCTACCATGCCCATGCATGCATGCATACATACACCAACTTGGCCCACCCACTCCCCTGTGATCCCCATTCCCCGCCTCTCTTCCTCAGAGTGAACACATCCCAAACGGAGATGCTTTTAGAGGACCTGTTCGACCTTAAAGCCATTGCCAAGGCTCTGCCCAAGGGCATCGTCTTTGCTGACTCGGACGACTGGAAGCAGACGCTTGTTGCCGCCCAAGACGCGCAGACCCTGGCAGATGCTCGGAAAAAGAATCCACCTAAGAAGGAAGGAGGGGAGGGTGGGGGAGGGGAAGAGGAGGAGGAGGACGAGACTCCGGCACAGTACTTGGTGGTGGAGGATGGGAGTGTGAGTTGGCGGGAGCTTCGGGACGTGCCTGATTATGCCGAGGCTAAGATTGTGCATCGGAAGGATGACCGGCCCTGGTGAGTGGAATGTAGGAGGTTTAGGGGATGTGAACAGGAATTTAGAGCTTGAGGAGGGTGGTTGGGATGAGGGGGTGGGGATACGGGGTGTTGGGTGGACTGGGGGATGGTTGAAACAGTGAGGGTTAAGGAAGGAGAGAGAATAGTTAGTGGAGGGATGGTGGGGAGGAAATTGCTTCACTTGAAACATGCAGTTGCTTGCCTCTCTCTTCTCTTTCATCCCCTATCTCTCCCCCCTCCTCCTCCTCCTTCCCACCCCCTCCCCCCCCACATGCACACACACACACACACACACACACACACACACACACACACACACACACACACACACACACACACACACACACACACACACACACACACACACACATACACTCACACACATCCACATTCACACACACCCTCGCACTCACTCACTTGTTCGCTGTGGCAGGAGGAGGGTGTGTGAGACGCCGTTCAGCGGCACGGCAGTGATCTACCACGGCCCGCCCTTCGCCAAATACATCCAGCAGCTTACCTCGCTCTCTTCCCTCTCTTCCCCCCCCCCCCCCCCCCCCCCCCCCCCTTCCCCCCCCCACACACACACCCACCCACACTGTGGCAGGAGGAGGGTGTGTGAGACGCGGTTCAACGGCACAGCTGTGATCTACCACGGCCCGCCTTTTGCCAAATACATCCGCGACCTTGCCATGCAGGTGGGTGATG